TATAATAATAATAATAATAATAATAATAATAATAACAATAATAATAATAGTAATAATAATAATAATAATAATGGGATCTGTCGCTGTTAGGAGGATGTTTCCGACCATCCGGGTCTCCTTCTCCGGGGTGGACCAGGACTCCAAGTACATCGTGCTGATGGACATCGTCCCGGTGGACAACAAGCGGTACCGGTACGCCTACCACCGCTCCTCCTGGCTGGTCGCCGGCAAGGCCGACCCCCCTCTGCCCGCCAGGTACACACACACAGCCGGCCTGCTCCTCTCACTGGCTCCGCTCCAGGAGGCAGGAAGAGGAGAGCAAGAAAAAAAAAGAAAGAAAGATGCTGAATGCAATTCGTCAAAAACAAATTTTAAAAAAGAGGAAGAGGGGATTTTTACATTTAAAATCCCCCCAGTTTTAGAGGCTTTAAAGATAAAAAATAAAAAATAAAAATAAAAATGAAAGAACAAATAAAATCACACAGGCTGTAAAGTTAAATAAATTAAATAATGTTTCAGTGGTCGCCTCGAAGTCTTTAAGTTATTCTAATTTTCTGACACCTGATATTAAAAGCTAAATTCAGTGTTTTATTTTGAAGAAGACACCATAAGTCCTGCATGGAAATCAGAACTTGAGTGATTCTGCGCTGGTCCAGTCTCAGCTTCACGTTACAAAGCGTTGGTAAAATGTGATAGAATTTGGTCCCAATTTTTCTTTTCTTTTGGAAAAAAATAAAAAACCTGTGAGCTGAATATAATCAACAACTATAAAAACGAAACAAAAGAAACACCACAGCCCATTATTTAAACCAATGGACTAATTTAATCTTGAACCATCTGGGAACGTTTATACAACGCTGACTGATGAATCTGTGTTTTCACTCAGCATCAGTGACATGACGGTTGGTCCAGGCTTTAAGGATATTCAATTACTTTTACATAATTGTATTTTTTTTCCAGAGAATCAGGAGGTTTTAACCACATTTAGGAAGCTAAAATGTTGACAGTTAAATGCCATTTTTATTTATTCTGGGACTAAATAAATTAAAATCTGACACCGTTAGCAACGAAAATTAATATTTAGTGCTTGACTTGTTGGAAAAATTCACAGTATATGTGCAGACGGCTCGGAAACAGTCATATTGGATGTAAAATCAACTTTACAAACGAAACTTACGGAAATAAAAATAGTCTTTTACGAGATTTTTTTTTTTCAAAAACATGAAATTTTAACACTTCTTGGGATAAATAAATCATTTTTTAACGGTTTGCAAAATATTCGTGCAGTAGGATTTTCTTTTGGTTTTCTTAAACACCGTTAAAAGACAAAAAAAAAAAAGTTTTTTATCGTCTTTTTTTTTTTTTAACTTAGAAACGGTTGCTAAGCGCCTCGTCATTTGCCAGGTAGCGGGGGTCACACAGCGGCGCGCTGATTGGGTCCGGGACGCTGGCCTCTCAGCCAATCACAGCGGCTCTTTTTCTTCCTCTTCTCCGACAGGTTGTACGTGCACCCGGACTCCCCGTTCACCGGCGAGCAGCTCATGAAGCAAATGGTTTCCTTCGAGAAAGTCAAGCTGACGAACAACGAGCTGGACCAGCACGGACATGTGAGCGCCTGCTTCTTTCCTCCTCGTTTGTCCCGGGAGGCCAAGAACAATACGTCTGGCATTAATCCCGGTTATCAGGAACGCTTATGGGGGCTTTACTGTTGCGACATCCCGTGAAAATACGTTAAGCTAGCTACGAAAAAAACAACCCAATACATCAAAGTAAGGCAGTTAGCTACACTTAATATGTTCATTTGAATTTGTGCAGGCCTCTGGTGAAAACTTCTGCTGTATTTGTGGCTCTTTATGAAATTTCAAACGTTATAATTGTAAAAAATAGATGAAAATCGCAGCGCACCAATGAGACAGCTCGCCCTCAGACACATAAACGGTCGGTGTGACTTTCTAGACTCAAGCAAATTGCTCTTTAATCCTCCTTTCACTGAAGGCATCAAGCACAAGCAGGGAGCAGAAAAACACTGCTCAAGTAAAAGAAGAAAGAAAAAAACATTTATCCATCAATTAGCCAACAGGAGGACACGGTCTGGGAAACAAGACGGTTATTATCCTACAGGGTGTGTGCAGGTTTTCAAGTCCAGAAATTGACTCTATTTACATGCATGTCTCCAACAAGCACAGTGATGAGCATGAAGAACCAAAGATCTCTTTTATTTAGACTCTGATTATTTTCTATGCATTAATAAACAGTTAGTAAAACTGTAATATGGAGCAGGTTTTGTTTTTAAGTTTATTTTATCAGTTAAATACTTTTAAGACCAAGTATTGCAGACTAAAGGAGACTTCCTGACCCTCTTTATTCCAAGAGAAAGGCAGCTTCTTTCCCCAATAAATAAGAGAAGCTTTGTTTGTCACGTACACATTCATACACGGCACAATGTGCAGTGAAATGTATTTTGTACCAGCCTCCAGTTTCAATGAAGAAAAAACTAAAATAAGTGTTAAAGAAGTATATATACATACACATAAGTAATCATATAAATAAATAAATAAATAAATAAATAGTGGCATTTAAAATAAATTATAAGGCAGAACAAATTATTAATAACCATTTTTTCACAACCAGACGAACTGTTTCTGTAATTCTACCAATGAAAGGATAAAAATGTCGAAAATTCATCAGAAGCAGAACGTGGATGATATTTCCTGGCGTCTCTTTCTGTCTTTACTGAGCGACACACTGCATAAATGTCTGAATTAAATAAAATAAACACTCTGGTTTTAAAACAGAGCTGAGCTGAAAGCAGAACAAATGATGAAATAAATGCATTAAAAAGATCCTGAAATGTGTAATAACATTCCACTAATAATGTATGAGTCCAAAGAAAGTGCTAAAAATATAAGTGACATCAGTATTTAAAAACAAAACTGAGCCTTTCTATTTTTTTATTGTATTTTTTTTCACTATAATGGATCTTTACACAACTAACAGAAATATCTGCATGTCTGCAGAAGGACACATACAAGCCGTTTCCTGGGCTGCATCCAGACGGTTTGATGATTGTGGAGGAAAACTCTGCAGCATTAACAGCTTCATCTGTTCACACTCTTCTCTTTCTCACTGCATTCCTCCCTCTGTCGTTTTATTCCTCGTCTCTCCACACTGCATCCTCATTTCTCTCACTCTCAACCTTATTTTCCCCTTTCAATCGGACCTCTAGGTTAGCTGCATATGAAGTCTTTTTGTTTAAAAAATATATATGAAAAGATGACACTCAGTGTGAAAGATCTCACCATTCTAAAATGTGTCTCTTGCATATTTATTCTAATATGTATAACTTCAGTGGCAGCATTTTAATATATTTATGAAATATAAAATATCCACAATATCAGGGAAACTAAGATTTAAACCTGGTGCAACCTTTTAAAGTTTTCTAAACACAAAAGTGATCTCAGCAAGGTCCATTTATGTAGCAGCTGATGTGGAGGTTTTTAATCTTTATCATCATAAAGTGTGTCCAAATGTTCAGATTTCCAGCACTTGTAGGACTTCTCATTCACGTTGAATTAAAAGTAGAAACTGAATTGTTGAGCAGATAAATTAGACAAACTCTGTTAGTTCCTGGTGAAATACAGGGATTTTAATTCCCAACTTTTTATAATGAGCATGTTTGTGAGGATTAAGGCAATGAAGAGAAGCATTTTCATGTTTTAAAAATGAGGCCAAGATCCTCTGTATTTTGTTTTTTGTCAACAAATCCCCTAAAGACACCAAAACTGTGGGTGCGTCTGTCTTTTTTAAACAAGAGGCTCAGTAATTTTCTAGAACAGCCGAGGACTGAGAGAAATGGAGCATTTGTCGGGGGACTATTTTCACTGTGGATTAATACGTATTTGTTGTGTTAGCAAACATTTCCATCAGCAGGATGTGTGTGTGTGGGACGGAGTCAAAACAAACTGCAGTGTGTGTGTGTGTGTGAGTGTGAGTGTGAGTGTGTGTGTGTGTGTGTCTCTGTCTGTGTGTGTGAGGTGTGTGTGTGTGGTAATGAAGGAACATGTCGGCTCACTGATATGTTTGTAATGGAGCTCTATGGCACACAGCAGTACGGTGAATCAGGCTCTGAGTTCACAGGCAGCACTTGTTGATTCTTGTCTTTTCATGACATTTGTTGGCAATAAAAAAAAAAAAAAACCTGAAAGATCTTTTAAATGTTCCCTCCAGAGCAGACCAGCCATGCAGTGTTTGTACCGCGGTCAGCCTGTACGTCATCTCTGTCGTTTCTCGCTGAGCTGACTCCCTCCTCGTCCTCTGCAGATCATCCTGAACTCCATGCACAAGTACCAGCCGCGGGTCCACATCATAAAGAAGAAGGACCACACCGCCTCGCTGCTCAACCTCAAGTCTGAGGAGTTCCGCACCTTCGTCTTCGTGGAGACCGTCTTCACCGCCGTCACAGCCTATCAGAACCAGCTGGTGAGTGATTGTTGGCTGATGCGGGCCGAAGCAGTCTGCCAGAACCATGCTAGCGGTTCCCGTGAAATATAAAAATAGGTGCAAGCTCCGTTTAGTTGCTGTTCTGGTGCTTCATCAGCACTTTGGGGCATCAGATCCTTGTAGGCTCGACTGTGCCCTGTTGACCTGAGGCAGCTCATGTGATGTAAAAGTTCCAGAAGAGCTACTCATGAATTTATGTTTATGACCCTTAACAGCACAAAACACAAACAACAACACGATAAAAACACCATCAAACTGGTCCAGACCTGACTGATTGCTGCTTAAATACGGTTCAAACAACAGCGATCCATTTAGAGAAACAGGAGTTCCACAGATTGATCACCTGAGTAGCGACAGACGTCCAGATGAGGATTTACACAAAAAAAAACTTCTTACATTCAGCCTGTGTTGCTGAGTGAGAAACTCAGAGATGTTTAGTGGTACCAGATTTAAGAAAATGACCCAAATGATGATCTCATTGGCTTCCTATCAGAGGAAGTCTGTCCAGAGTAAATACTTTGGTGCAGCACCCCCTGGTGTGAAGTCACCACCTCCTGTGTGCAGATTGTTTGTATGTAGAACCTCGGGTTTGCTCAGGAACCAAACCTGAGGTATGTATCATAAAATGCAGGTCTCAACATATAAGCTCTAATGAAAGATTTGTTGTTTTGTTGATCTCAGTGAGACTTTTCCTGGTTAAATAAGGGTAAGAATAAAATAGAAGTATGTGTTTCTGTAGCAGAGTGAAGCGACAGCAGCATGTAATCAGCCGTAAAGTGTACCGCTGCTGTTCAGAAGCTTCATGATTTTATGAGTAAGATCTGGTCCCTTTGTGGAGTCTGAGAACCAGGAAATGTGTAATAAGTGTGCATTAGGTGTCCCACATTTTTACAAAGACAATTAAATGGTGTGATTTAGATTTAGACATCTATATATTATCCAAGTGTCTTCTTCAGTTTAAGCCATAAACTGTGACTCTGTGATGCTCCTTAAGCTTCCAACAGAGTGAAAATGCTTAAACCGTGACAGCAGAAAGGGATGAAACTAAGACGTTTGTGGTATTTTGCTGTGGCAGTAAGACAATCGGTGCTTCCTCCTTTTTGTCCTTCAGCTCACAGCGAGAGGAGGCGTGTTATTAGAGATGAATAAGCCCAGACTTTACACCATGTTTGTAGCATCGTGATAACTCTGCAGAGGAGCTTCATAGTGAGAAGAAAAGCCCGACCCGCCTGACTCACTCCTCTCTCTCTTTCCCAGATAACCAAGCTGAAGATTGACAGCAACCCGTTCGCCAAAGGTTTCCGGGACTCGTCGCGGCTCACGGACATGGAGAGGTACAGGGGATTCTGGGCCCGGCACTGTTTGTTTACCTCGGTCCCGATAAGATACACAAGGAGGGAGGAGTGTTGGCTGTCCAGGGCTGCTGCTCATTAGTAAATACAGAAGCAGCAGTGTTTATTTCTCTCTATGAAGCAGATAGTTCAGCGTCGTCCCTCCTTCTGCTCGGCATCGTTTTTTTCACATCTTGTTTTTACTCCCGTTCCTTCCTTGTGAGTTTTTCTTTCCATCTTTTCCTGTTCTTTGTTCCCTTTATCATTCTTTTATTCACCCTTTATTCACCCCAGTTCTTTCCTTTCTGTTTTATTTCCTTTATTGTCATTTCTCTTATTTTCCTTTTAATCTTATGTCTTGTTTTCCTTCCTTTCTCGTCTTTCCTTCTTTGTTTTCCATTATTCGTTTATCGATTCCTGCCTTTCTCTCCTCATGTCTTTCTTTCTTTTGCTGTCTTTCGTTTTGTTTTATCACTTTTCCTGTTCTACTTTTTTATTTTTTGTCATTATTGTCTTCTCTTTCTTTCTTTCTTTCTTTCTTTCTAGTCTTTCTTTCTTTGTTTTCCATTATTCGTTTATCTTTTCCTGCCTTTCTGCCCTCATGTCTTTCTTTCTTTCTTTCTTTCTTTCTTTCTTTCTTTCTTTCTTTCTTTCTCTCTCCCATCTGTTCATTGTCAATATTCTCCTCAATCCCGGCTCTTTCCTCTGTAGTATTTTAGCCTTTCCCAGCCTGTACATACATGTTGTGTTTTTATTTTATCATATTGTGTGTGAACTAGAGGAGCCTCTCTCTGTCCCTGACACACACACAAACACAAACACACACCGTTACAAACCGCCGTCCAAAGGATTTTTATGGACGCTGCCAAAACACACACTTCTCGTAATTCCCGATTCCGGCACTACGGCCAAAATCAGCTGACAAAATCAACCCATCTGCCCATTTCCCTCAATCAAACATCCCAAACAGAGACCGCCGAAGCACAGCCAGACACCCCTCACAACCTCCCCCCATCCCTCCTCGTCCTCCTCCTCGTCCTCCTCCTCCTTCTGTCTTTCTCTTTTTGAGGGCTGTGAATTAGACCTGATCAATTGATCTTCGGGAGCTGCAGAAATCACATTAGTCTGGAGTCGGCCACTGCACTAAAACACACTGTAATTCAATTGGCTGCAGTGACTGATTGAAACCAGCATGCTCCGCCCTCCCCCCTCCCCTCCCCTCCTCGCTTCCCCCACCACCGCCCTGCCGTGCATTGTGGGAGCTCGCCGTGGCCTCTGCGCCGGAGGGGCCCCGGCGCTGATAAAAACACACACATTTGTACTCCTCTGCTGACAGATATTGCACTTTCCTAACCTAATTGGAGGGGCGGGGGCTGCAGGGGGGGGAGGCTGCTAATGTGGACGCATGGCTCTCATGACACACACACACACACACACACACACACACACACACACACACACACACACACTGCCTCCCCCCCAACAATTTGTGTCACTGTGTTTGAGAAGTGCTGTCTGACAAGACTCAAATGAGCTAATGCACTTTGCGGGATAGTGAACACACACGACACACATCTACATGCACAGTCGACACAAACATTAGAACATACAGATCGTCACACGCATCCAGACGAGATGAGGAAAACAGATCTGCAAGCCAAAATACCTCCTGGAAATACGCAAAAGCAATCAAACCGGTCACTTTGCACTTTGTATATATACATGTATGTCGTATTATTACTTTATTTATTTACTCCATCTCCTTTTGCATTGTTTGAAAATTTGATTTATTGATTTATTCATTTATTTTTCCTTATTTTTCATCCCTCTCTCTCTCTCTACTCATACATATGTTTATTTCTTGTGTGTTTTATTCCTCTTCATATTGTTTCGGTGTGGAACAGATGCACAAAGCATTTCACTGCGCGTTACACCGTGTTTAACTGTGTTTGTGACCAATAAAGGCCTCGAATCCTTGAAGCAGGGAGTCATGTAGTTGCTGGTGTTTACAGTAAATCTGTGATTCAGTGACGATGAACGAAAACATGTAAATTCACCAAAGTGATATTTTTTTTTTGGTCACAATTTTCTTCTGTAGCTACAAAAATGTGACTATAAGTGATAAAAAACTATGCGTGATCTTTACAATTTGTTTTAATTCTGATGTTTTGACACACTGCTGCTCTTCTGGGTACGTGAGGGTTAAAACATTTAACTCATTCAGTGAAATACTGCAGCATTTCTCGTGTGTGTTTACTTTGTTTTGGTTGTAAATATTCTGATATCAAAGCTAAACTTGTATGAATACGGATGCATAATACATCACCTGTGAAATGGAAAAAAAGAGATTTATTTTGGGGCTCTCTCTTCGGCTTTTGCTGCAGGGAAAGTGTTGAGAATCTAATCCACAAGCACTCGTACGCCCGGTCGCCGATCCGGACCTACGCTGGGGACGAGGAGAACCTGAGCGAGGACGGACACTCCACACACACCAGAGGTGAGCGCACACACACACACACACACACACAGGACAGGAAATAGATCTTAGGATAAAGCTTGTGTTGTCCTGAATTGTTCTTATTGTCAAAAATCACATTAAAATGAACAAAATATTGGCGCCTGTGCTTAAAAAATGTAGTTTTCTTTCTGTGAAAAAGCCTCGGTGGTATCCTCAAACAACTGGGCCCTTTAGTTCAGTATAAGGGACTTTATGTTGCAGCAAAACATGTGAAGAACAGTTTAAAATATATATCGATTTGTCCAGTATAGGTGTGGATGATTCATTCAAACTACATAGTAATACTGTTTGTGTTCTGTCTAATCATGGATGTGGGTTCAGACATCACCGGAGCTTTCTGTGGATTCCACCCCGGTGTTTACATTTGCACCTCGTCTCCTCCAGGTTCAGCGTTCACCGCCTCAGACAACCTCTCCCTGAGCTCCTGGGTCACCACCACCTCGGGCTTCTCGGGCTTCCAGCACCCACAGTCCCTGACGGCCATGGGCACCGGCACCGCCTCCCTGCCTCACCCCATCCAGGGCTCCCTGCCCCCCTACAGCCGGCTGGGCATGCCGCTGACGCCCACCGCTCTGGCTGGAACCATGCAGGGCAGCGGTCCGTCCTTCCCGTCCTTCCACATGCCCCGCTACCACCACTACTTCCAGCAGGGGCCCTACGCCGCCATCCAGGGACTCCGCCACTCCTCCACGGTCATGACCCCCTTCGTATGACTCCGTCCTGGAGAGGAGACGGCCGAGCCTCGCCCTGACGCTCACACACCTTGTTTCTCCACTGCGGCTCATCACTCCTCATCCAGTTTGTATCTTAGCCCCTGGTCTTTGTAAATAGCTCACCTGCAGTGAGTGAGGTGACGACATGAAGAGGATGTGGTGTACTGACAGCAGGCGGACTGTGGCGCCCTCCTTGGGACCTGCGGAAACACCAGCAGATCCTGTGGTTTCTACGAACACTTCCAAGACATTGTACAAACGCTTACGACCTCAGTACAAACTATAAAAGCTGATACGAGACACTAGCAGGAGCATGTTTGATCTCGGCCCTTGAAGAACAGAAAGTGGATCCTCGACTCATTTTAGAAATAAGTAGACGACTCTGTCTGTCTTTGAACTTCGCTGTGGCAGCAGGGTCTCCACCGAGGCGTTAGCGATGGCAGGCTGCTGTGTAATTCCTCAAAATGACACTCCTCTGATGCCACAGTCCGTCGGACAGCGAACATTTCAGACGGGCGGAGCAGCCATCTCAGCTTTCTGCTGTTTTGGAGAAAGCCAGCCATATGTACAGTTACATCTCCACACTGTTGAACATGTTGTCCAAAGCGTTAAAAAAAAAAAAAACAAAGTGTACAAAGACAAACGAGCTGCATTTACTCATAAGAAAAGTCTCACTGTAGAGTGCCAAAAAAAAAAAAATCCTAGGACGCATGCTGACCGCATTAGACAAACACGATGGGTAAACTTTATGTGGAACAACATGGTATGAATGAGCTCACCTGGAGGAAGGAGTTCTGCTTTATTTAAAGGCCCGGGCACACGAGATAGTCAATCTGTTCATTGTATTGGAAGCAGCGGCTTCATTCGTGGACTCATGGGAGTGAAGTGTTCAAAATGAATGTATTGGGAGAGCTGCCGATGAGTTGTCCAGACCCCGTAGACCCCCATTATATAGGACGGAAGTTTAACCGAGGCAATAGCATGAGAGAGGGACTAAAGCTGAAGCCCACAGACTCTTATCACATGCGTACTAGTGGGCTGGCTAACTGGTAGCTCAAAGAATGAATAATTAATGAAACCCTGAGAACAAAATGTCACAAGAAATGTAAAAAGTTATTGTGCAAACTAGCACTAGCATGCCTGTTATCATGTAAGATGGTAGTTTCCATGCTGCAGTGGTTCACCATCGAGCTATACTGGACCGGTTCTGGTGACACCAAGAAGCCAACACACTGTGATCAGTCAGCTGTAGCTTCAGGAATAAACCCAGCGTTTAAAACTATCCCTGTCTGCTGATTTCACAAACACAGACGGATCCGTGTTGTTGTGCCCGGGCCTCGACTGCTAAGAGAACTTCAACAGCATCTGTTTTAAAATAGCCATGTTTTATTTCCCTGCTTTGTTTTACTCCAGTAAGTGAAACTGACTGCAAGTGTAGCTGCTAGAAATCTGAGCAGATTCCCCCCAAAAATTAGGAAATCTTCATTGTAATCTGTTGTATGTCAGAATGCACAGAAACCGCAGCAGCGTGAGTTCATGCAGATGCTTCAGCTCCGTGCAGCCTTTTAGCAGGTCTGTGCTCTGCAGGTGCTACCGAGCTGATTCATGGCAGCGTGGGAGCGCGCCGACAGGTCGTCCACACCTGGAAATAATGACCTCGTTTAAAGCACGCAGAGCCGAGGGAGCTGGAAGCTGCAGGAGTCGTGTCTCTATCGGAGTCGATTAGCGACGAGTTGCAATCCATAAAAATGACAAAACATTTACTGTTCTTCCCGATAAAATGTCAGAAATTAGCGAGAAATAACAAAAGCACAGAATGTGAATGTTTCAAAAACCAAAATCTGATGAGTTTACGACAAAAAGAAATAAGTTACAACCACGTTTGGAGTGTTTTGATTAATTGATTGCAAAAGTAGCAACTGGATAATTTTCTTTAATTACTTCGGCTAAAAAATGTTCTAAAAAGAAAGATTTGAAAAACCCCAAACAATTTGTTTTCTCTTTGAAAACCTTAAATATCCAGTTTTTATCAGTTCATGCTAAAAACATGAAAAGTCTCCCTGAACAGTTGGATTATCTGTAACGTGATGCCATTAAAGTTGGATCATATTGAAATAATGCAACAAGTCATTTCACTGAAATAGGACACAGTGTTTTTTTTATCTTTTTTTTTTGCAGAAGAGTCACATTCATGCACGAAATCGACATTTTTCTGCTTCTTGCATCATCAGACATCCTTTAAATGCGTCAAAGGGGCTTTAACTTGATTAACGGTGTCACTTTTAACGCTGTTTTGTGGCCATCAGTGAAAAGAAGTGCGTATAAAAGAGCAACACGAGCTGGTTAAATGTCCCACTTTGCCTTCTTCCATATTCTTACATCCCATGAAGCCTGACGTAGGAGAACGTGGACGTCAGGGTTGCGAGCGGATGATTTTATCTCATCTGTTTAGCGAGAAGACATTTCTTTGCTTTAGAAATAAAATCTTAGTGTTTTTCTGATGTACAGGCCGAGCTAAGTGTCGATTCCCGTCGGTGTAAATGTTCAAAACGCCTCCGAGTCTCGACTTGCCGCTGAAAATAATCTCTTTTTCAAAATGTTCTGTTCCCTTTTGTACGCCATGATCTGAACGCCACACCCAACGAGATTGTGTTTTAATGATTTTTAAGTGCAATATATTTATTTTGCTCTCTGGAAATAATGTGTAATGTACTATGCTGCATTCAAAAAAAAAGTAGTTATTTGTAAACCATGAGAAATATATCTATCACCACCAAAACACTGAGTTGTTTTTAGTTGTTTTTCTTTTTTACTTACTGAAAATATAACAAGTTGTCTCACAGTGAACCAAGGTTGTCAATAATAAACTGAAACATGAAGTCATTAAAAAAAAAAAAAAAGAAAAGTAAAACGCACATACGTGGGTATTTGAGCTAATTTTGTTAAAACACTGACGGCTTCCTGTTGTTTTTAAGCTGCTTTAGCATATCCTACAGCGCCACCCAGTGGTCGGCCTGCATCACAGCCTCATCCAGAGTATTTTAGAAGCTGAAACAGAACCTATTGAGTAAAACTACTGCAGCTGGAGATGAATCCATGTGGCTTATTGATCTGAAAGTAGTTCAAACGAGCCGCAAGTTTGAATCGTAACGCTTTTCCTACACTTGTCCGAGCAAATCCTGATAATTGTAAGATTAAAACCAATTCTCTAAGCCGTCTGCAGAGAATCTTTTAGACCAGGGATCTCCCACTCCGGTCCTCATGAGCTACTGTCCTGCAGGTTTTAGATGTTTCTGCAACACACCTGACTCAAATTAATGGATCTCCAACAGCTTGTTGTCACGTTCTACACAAGTCTGTTAACGATCCATTAATGTGAGTCAGGTGTGCTGTAGTACAGAAACGTCTAAAACAGGGGTGCCCAATCCTGGTCCTCGAGAGCCCCTATCCAGCATGTTTTAGATGTGTCCTTCTTCCAACACACCTGATTCACATGATCAGGATCGTTGCCAGGCTTCTGCAGAGCTTGATGATGATGAGCTGATCATTTGAATCAGGTGTGTTGGAAGAAGGAAACATCTAAGACCTGCAGGACAGCAGCTGGGGATCCCTGATTTCGACTGTCAAAATGCAAATCCTGTAAAAACATTTTGAAACTATAGTCATCCAGGATTTTTTATTAGTAGCTGCAGTGAATTGTGACACTTAACACACATATTGTTAGTTGTCCCCTTAAATATTAGGATTTGCACAATCAGTAAAACTGGGAAAGTGGTCTATCTCTAACAAAAGGCCTATATTTCAATTAATATAATATTAAACAGGTTACAAATGCAGTGAAGACAGTCTGGACCAACATGGCCATGAAACAAAATCCCAGGTGCTACCAACAACATTAACACCATTTCATTCCACTAAAGCAAACTGATACTCTGCAATCATTCATTCTATTCTTTACAACTGTGCGTTGAGCGACTGATTTACCTCCACAGGACAAGCCATGTGTGAAATAAATGGTCTGCACAGGATTATACAAGCTACGTATGACATTAAAGCACTAAACCTGGTATAAAACAGATTTTTCACAGCTGTAATTAATGAAATGTTGTGTTTTTTTTCCACCCCATCTGGTGACACTGCTCACTGAGTCTACATCCTGAGTACGATCAGGAGGGTTCTGAAGTATCGTGGTTATGTTTTGTGCATGTGAAAACTAGCTGGAGATAAAAAACCAGAACACTGTGGCGCTTAAACATCTTGTCAGGGTTTCTGAACATTGTCTGCCATGTGTGCAAAAGGTTAGTCTGTAAGAAAACTGATCGCCAATGCAATGATGATAATGAACAAATTGAATTAAAGCCGCAAGCGGCGATGGACGGGTCCTCGCCCTACGCTTGTCGGCCTTTGCGCACGGCGGGGTGTGGGGCAAACCTGCTCCGGGCAGAACTGTGATCCGGCATGTCGAGTTTGGGGCAGATCGGAGCAAGTGCGGCCTAGTTACGAGCCACTTCCTGTTTAGTGGCGAGCTGCGGCGGCGTGCGGGTTGGCCGGGGTGGAAACGCGCTCTGGCTGAGACTCGGAGCACGCATGTAAAATTTCAGGCCGATTGGAGCACAGACACACCACGTCTCGTATTCTGGTGTTTTATGGCGTTGTGGCCAAATTCAGGGGGGCGCCATTTCCACGCCGTCACACTTGTGCGGACCATTTTACTAACGTGTAATCACCA